GCAGACCTTGTAGTTCGCAGTCCATTGTTTATCCTCTAGAGCCACGGCGCCCCCTCCCTATTGCCTAGTCTCTTTATTTCCCAGTAGCATTATTAGGGGGACTTGAGAGGAACAGCACACCAGTTAGCCCCTTTCTTTGGAAGTCTGAGCTATTAGAGCCTTTTGTTTGTAAAATGGAATCATTATTGACTCCATAAGGACTTTTTACTTTTAAAATGTGTTTAATCATTGCTTGCCAGTTTTATAAAAACCAAAGTTTAAAAAGTCTAAATCACAGGATGTTTATAGCCATGGGTGTGTGACTAGACATTTCTGTTCCTGAGCCATTTTCTTAAGCACAGCAACCCATGAGTCACCCTCTGGTGGCCACCCGCTCCTTCCTCTGCACTATGACAGGCCTGGGACATTCCTAGTGGCTCCGGACTCCTACCGAGGACCTACCTACCAGCCTTTGGTCTGTGAAGGCTGTTGGTGCTGGAGGCTCTGACACTTATTAACTTCTTAAAGGTCTTTCTCTGCAAGTAGCGATCCCAGACAAATATTTTTACTTCTGGCATTTCTTATGTTTAGGATTCTCATTCTTTTCTTCTTTAAGGTAGGCCTTATCTCCTTCACTCCATTGCTCTGAGCAATGGACTCTGCAGAGTGTTGAAAGGCATCTTTTTATTATGACCCAGAGATAGAGGCTCCCTTCTCTTTAGGAAACCAAAGGCTGCCTGTATTGCATGACTTCTTGGGTCTGCTAATACTGTATATGCTTCTTTCTACTGGTTTGCATTAAACAATTTTACTGAACAGTTCTTACCACTCTCAACAATAAAACATGCAATGTGCATCAGACAGCCCATGCTGTGTGACCTCATGCGGGTGCAGGTGTTAGTCACACACGCTGACATGTAACCCACCACCTGTCGCAACACCAGGATAGATGCAGATTTAAACTAGATAATCCCAATATCATGATCATCACTTTAGGTGGAGTTATGGGGAGTTGATCATTATTCCTTGTTTGTATAAATTAAAGACAAATAATTCTGGATTGATAGATTAAGAAAGCTTGTGTTTTATTTTCTTTGATGTTTCAAAAGATTTCAATTTGACACCTGCTAGACTTTTGAAACTATTAAGAAAAATATATTTAAGCCAATAGATAGCGATGCCTTGTTTTAAAGAAATGCCTGAGATACCAATCTGTGATCATCCAGTTTCCATTCATTCATTCAATAGGTGTCTAGCAGTGCCAAGAATACCACAAATACAAAGGTAATTAATATAATCCCTATTCACCAGCTCAAAAACAGGCATAACTATATATATATATATAGTTAAGTGCAACCACGTTTCTCCAAATTTATTCTATCAGATTTAATCAAATAAAAATTAAGTATTACACCTGAAACTTTTGTCCACGAGCTGCTGCTTTATTGGAGGGAATGGTAGAAATACTAGCATATGCTTCTTTGGGTTGGGTATCACACTGCCCTCTGCTGATTAAGAGCTAAAATCACCCTGGGTTTGTGGATGAGGCGCTGCTGCTGTGGGAATCTATCCTGGTGCCACCACTTTCCTTTATGGAGTTCTGCTTAAGTGGTGACTCCCCACTAGCACACTAACACGGAAGATGAAATGTGATAGGGCGCAGTGGGGATGGGAACAAGCAGGTCAGAATTTTCTGAGCAGAATAGGCTATTAGGCCAGAGGTTATCCCCTTGTAATCGCCCGGGAAACCACTGATGCTGGTTCATGTTCCCAGATATGATGATTTGGGGGGGGCTGGGGAAGGGGAGGTCTTGGCCTTCAGGACTTTTAGAAGGTTCTTGCTAATGTGAGAGAAGTTGGAAACTCCTCTAGGGTGAGCAATCAATATGACAACTCTAAAACAGTTGGTGCCACAGAATCCGTTCAGAATCCAGAGACGCTGGACAGTTTCCAAGGAGTAGCCGGTGGGTTTGAACTGCTGACCTCGCGGTTAGCAGCCCATCACTTATCCTACTGAGCCATGTAGTATAAGCCCACCAGGGTCTAAGATGAAACCCTCTGGTTTGCTGAGACCCAGCTAAGAGTGGTTTCCTCAGACACACACTGCAGGACTCAATGAAACTCACCCATATTGATTACTTAAGTCCAGGGACACAAATGGGCAAACCTGGGGTCATTTGTGACTCCCAAATGAACTGTTTTGACATTTTAAAAATGTATAACATTTTTTTAAACTTGAAATTGCCAACAACTTAAATTAAGAGCTTTCACATAAGCACCTACATGCTTGCTTTCCTTGAAAACAAGCAGCTCTGACAAGCCTGGGCCTCTGGGGCAGTAATAGGCTTAGTCTCCTCACTGGGCACCTGCTCTCCACCAGCCCGACCCACTCTGCCTTCCTGTAATGTTCACCCACAGCTTCCTACTTAGCAGCAGCACAGAGCGAGCTCACTCTTTGTCTACCTGAAGACTTCAGTTTCTCAAACATATGAATCTTGCTCTCAATTATTTTTCTGCTTCAGCTCACTCTCCCTAGTTCCTTTAGCCCTTTCCTGTGGTACATGAGTTCTGCTCTCTCCTCTGAATGCCCACTTGGTGCTCAATGCCCTCCTTTGAATTTGGGGACCAGGGAGAAATGCAGCACCTGAGAGGTTTTCTATACAAGTTGCCACCTGGTTGTGACATTTCTACTGATAAAACCTGAAACCCCACTAATTCCTCTCAGTATCGTCACTTTATTGGTTCATGTTGAAGCTGTGAGCAAATGAAATCCCCAAGTCTTTTTTATATGCAATGCCAGGATTCTCCCACCCCAAGTCTACACAACCTATTTAATTTAAATGAGAACTTTATTATTATCTCTTTAACTTCATCTTGATGGTGCTCACTCTGGGACTGTTGTGAGTTGTCTATTAATGCTAGCAATGTTAGTCTGTTCGATCCTCAAATCTGATGTTTCTGATGTCTTCATCCAAATCATGGATTTGACAAAAATAAAGCTGAATGATACCAAGCCCTGCATAATATCAAGAGGTCAAAAATCACACCAGCTCACTCATCAACACTTTAAACATCCATATAATTTCCAAGTATGTCAGGGACTGACCTTGACATAGTTGTGTTGTTCACAAGTGTTTGGTTCATGAGGAGGGGAGATCCAGCGGCGATAGAGATAGCGAAAGAATACACAGACAGACAGAAGGAGGGAGACAAGGAGGCACCCAGAAACCAGGGTGGATGCATCACTGGTGGGCAGACTTGGGACCACAGGCATCCTGGCCTCTGCAGGAAGCAACTCACTGCCCTGCAATCTTTACGGCATGCCCTCCAACCTGTAATGCACACCTGGGCCAACCTGGGCCTCTGTTTTATTTAGGGGAGGAGCTTCACACCAAGCTGGGAGGGACTAAAACAGGATACAACTAACATCAGTAATTTTCCAGACCTTCAGGTAACTTTACATCGTACGTCGCTGGTTTGAATCCCAGGCCAGCAACTTGGTTTCTCAGGCTCAATGAACATATCTATAGCCAGAGCTCAGTTGGGGCAAGGTGAAAGGGAAAGACAAAAGGCTTGGGTGGAGTCCTGCTGTTTTAGCTTCCTGAGCCAGGTTTTCAGGAACTTGGCTGAACAGCTAACACTTAGGAGAGATTCAGGGAAGATGGCTTTTTTGTCTGTAGAACAAAGAACTATGAAGTAGCTAAGATATTTTTAGTTAATCCTACGGAGGAAGGCTTGACCTTGCAACTTTTACAGTCTTTGGCTTTAGGAAAATATCACATTTATCTGTGGACATTAAGGGCTCATGTTTGGAATTAAATAAATATAACTGAACACTAAGATGAAAAACAATTCGCTATTGACTGCCAAGTGGCTAGATCTGTTCCTCAGAGCCTGCAGCCTGTATAGTCTACACACTGTCTGCAACACATGTACAAGTAGGTAGTCTCCAACTTACAACGGGATTCCTTCCCGATGACTTCATCCTAAGTCAGTTTTGCTGTATGCTGAAGACTGTTTGTTAATATTGCGCTTTATTATCAGTACCTTTATAAATCTTATCAGTTGCCATGAGAAAGGTTATCATCAGCAAATTATACAACATTGTATGGAGTACATATTACTTACAAGATGTACAAAACAAGAAAACAGGGACATAAGAGCAGTTCATCCTAACTTGAACATGTCGTAAGTCGCTACCATCCAGGCCCTACTACATTTTGACGCTGACTTGTCAAAATCTATCCTTTCTCTGTTTTTGAACTTAAAGGGCACTAGAAGACACTAGCTGTTTCTTGCTGGAGGTTACTTGAGACTTTAGGTTCTGCCAATCCTCCCCTTCAAATCTTCACCTGATAGATGTGAAGTTCACTTAAGCAGAATTCAGGACTCAGAAAACCAAGGAAACAGAAATCATGCATAAAGAGCTTGCCCACATTAAGCAACCTGAGAGTCTATGAAGAAACAGAAAATTACAGAAATGTCTTTCTCTACATTAAACCTAATTTTCAATATGAAAATTATTAGACTGCCCCCAGATAGTTTAAGAACCCCTACTCTCATGTTGGAACATTATTTCATAGGTTGCACCTGCAGACCAAAATGAACTGGTTTGAGCTTTGTGCTTCCTTGCAGGAAGGAACCCTGGGCAGCAACGAAAACAGCTGCTGTAGGACCCAGAGGTTAACCCCGGAAGGCTCAGAGGTTGGAACATTTCAAGCTTCAGGACAATTTTCAGCTGGGCCCAATGGTAAAAGCTAAAGGTCCAACTACAGCAGCTTCTGTCTACTAACGAACTGTAACTTTGCCCTTAGTCCCTTGTAGATGGCCCTTTAAGATTTGTGCTGCTATGTTAGCCAATCAACACAAAAGCCTGTTTATTCTACTGGGTAAAACTGCAGTCTCCTTTGTTGGAGGAACCTGTCCTGGTAACAAAGTCTTGACCTGCATCTCGCTTGATCGCCTCTTTAACAGCGATCCAATCTCTGTGTTTCCAGTCACACTGAGCAAGACCTGGGCTGGCATCATTAAAAAGAGAATCTTTAGTGTTAACCATATGTAATAACACTCTTGAGCTAGTAACTCTGTCTCAAAAATAGGCAACAGGTTTTAAATAACTTGGAAGCTACTTGATATATAAGGTCATCCTCTTAAGAAAAGCCCAAGTTCTTGCTCTCTGATCAGTTCTCAAAGATAATACTTTCAGTCCTAGGAAGTTGATCCTCAGAATCATTTTGGGACTCGTCGAAGTTCACTCATGAGCCAAAGGGCAACACTGAGCAAAGCCAAGGAGCCCGACTGGTGAGTAGCAGCCAAAGGGGTTGGAACATACATCAGCAGAGTGCTGATGCCCAAACCTACCTGTTAGAAAGGAAAGAACACAGTAAGAAAGTGGCTGAAAATGACTGGGCAAGGAATGCCAGATACGTAATACCTCCACGTTTTCCCATCAAGACACACAAACATACGTATTCTTAGTATCTCAGGTAAATATACTTATGAGGAAAATGCAAAAGAAATAGGCAAACCTAAATTTCTTCTTTTAATTGTTCTTTAGCTTCTCCAAGTTGCTTTCTCAAAAGGCAGCTACTCTTACCAATTTCTAAATAATATTTGTACTTTTGTACAAATATTTATAGAGGAAATAGTTTGTTCTTTAAAAATATATACATTGTTCTACAACTTGCCTTTTCACTAATAACTTTGAAATCTTAAACTGCTGTACCGTATTCTACAGTACGCACATACCACAGTTGTTTCTAAGTTTTCACTACTGTATAATTCTACAATGGCTTCCTTGCATATAGTTCTTTATACACTAGACTAGCTCGAGGGCAGACGCTAAGAAGGACAAAGGATTTTACACTGCCAAATTGCCCTCTGAAAAATGTTCTCACCAAGAAGGTAAATGTTTTCCTAAACCCATATTAGTACCTGATTAGCATTTTCTTTTTCAGTCGGACAGGCACAAAATGGTACCCTTGTTTTGAATTGCTCTTCCTTGATCCTGAATGTGCTTTAGCCATTCATCATCCCTCTTCAGAGAATGGTGAATTGATGCCCTTATTTTTTGGCTATTAATCTGTATTTTTTCCTAGTCTATCACCTTTCTTTTTAACTCAGTGTTATGGACAATAGCTTCAGACAAAAGAAGTGGTTCATACCTGCGTATACGCCAAAGCCAGCAGAGTCACTGCTGCCACTCTGGTCCTCTGAGGAAGGGGAATTCTCCGGGAGAGGAAATAAAGTGCTGTAATGGCAGTGACGGAGCTGATCCCCTGCAGGGAGGAAAATTCTCTCACACAAGTGGCAGTATGAGATTCCTACCTCCCTGTGTCTGCCCACCTTGCATGTGTTTTCTCAGGACCACTGAGTTAAGTGCTAAGCACATAGCTGTACCAGCGACAGTGACCCGCCCCAAGTTCCACTTGGATTACTCCTCCCAGTTTCTGCTAAGGGCTTCCTCTGCTCTCCGCTTAACGCTGATGTTCCCTGCGGCCCCACCGAACCACCTTTCTCCATGTAGCACTTTATACAAATTCACTGTTACCTTTTCATCTTCAAATATGGGTATTTTCAGGCATGGGATTTACTTTGCTATCTTAGCCCTACTTTCATCTTTTCTCTAATCCATTTCTTTCTAAGGTCGGTCCAACCCCAGGACACAGCTTATATATAATTATTGTTCTCAGCTGCAAGTGGAGGAGGTGGCAGCGCTGCTAGCTGGTGTGAAAAAGACCTACCGTCACATGATCATTCCCACCCTTTCCGAACAAAGGCCCGGGACTGGCGACCAGGTTCCCTTCCTACTTCCACGTTGTTAGGAAGAATACTTTTCTCTTCTACATTAATTTCACTTCTTTTTAGAGTTGGCTATGATGACAATTTCAACCTAACTGTACTCATTCCAAACTGTCGTGTGGACGTGGGGAAGGAGCCCAGCATTCCCTTTGGGTATCTGCGGTCCTCGTCTCTTAGGTGCATTTTCATCACCTCGTTCTCAACTTCTCTCCGTTTGAAGACATCTTCCTATCTGTAGCTGAACACATTCCAATAGTACTGTTTCTGTGGGTCTTTTGAAAAACCTTTTCAGTTGAGGCTTAACTCACATACAGCAGAATGCAGGAATTTAAAATGCAGTTCACTTTCACACATAGATTCTCTAGTTACAACCACCTAGATCACGCTGGCTCTGCTTTAAGCCTGCCACAGAAGGAACCTTCGGATCGACACTGACCTTTCTGTACTTAGTAACCCCGATTCCTTAGGACTCCTCAACCTCAATTCTCAAGTCCCACTCCCTCTGTGTAGCGTGGCCCTTTAGGACTCCTCAACCTCATTCTTCTCAAGTCCCAACTCCCTCCGTGTAGCTTGGCCCCATCACCTCCACCTGCAATAACACTTCGGCTTTTCACTGCTCTCCTGACTGCTGACCTGTCCTGCTCCAATCTCT